GAAATTGCCATTTCGTCCAGGATACCTTCAAAATGAACATTATATTAAGGTTTATTGTATCACAAGGTATGATGCACTCATTTGCAAAACCTTAACAACATACTCACTTGCATCATCATTATTTGGAAGCCTCCTCTAGCTTGTGAACAATCCCAATTTGAACTTTCCTTAACATTTCAATAATCATATGAATGGTGAGGAGGAAGTGTAATGTATTGTGCATGATCAGAACTGTATTACTTATGCACACCATGAATATTCATGTAACTGATGACGTCACGTAGTGTCAGCATAATAAATCACCTTTTCCAACATGGCAGCTCCTAGTGTCGCTTGTCCACATTGTTACCCCCGGTATAACCCACGCAAATACATGACAGAGACGAACAGCCCCTCGCGTTCAAAGTCGGCAGTGACAGTGCCATTAAAAAAATATAAACAGTAAAGTGAGTAAATTTCATATTGAGAATAAAAATGGGAAGAAATTAGACATCTAACTTTTAATGAGTTTATAAATCCTTTGCTGCAAGTTTTGTTTGTGGAGAGGGCTGTTTTTCAGGGGTCTTAGTTGAGCAACAAGGCCGGGGATGTTTGGGGTGAATTTCCGCGCAACAACAACAACAACAGAACCCAGCACCTCCTTCCAAAGGTGGTGTAACCGATTGCATAAAGCGTCAACTGTGGAATTTGGCCAATGTATTGAAGAAACCCGGGTTGAAAGCGCTCGCAGCATTGCCCGGAGTCATAGATAGCGTTTTAAGTTAGATATTCAACGTGGCGAGTAAAGCGGTTGGATGGGCGGCAGAGCACGTGTGGACTTTGTTTTAAGCGGTCGGTTATATAATTTTGACTTTTGTACAAAAACGTAAATCGTTTTATAAAAGGCAAAAAAAACTTAAACGCTTGTTTTCCACGTGGAGAACAAGTGGTTTTTTATGCCTTTTACCTTTCGTCTACTCTAAGTTAAAACTTTATATAACATAAAACCGATAACAACCATGGCAATGGCTCCAACGGCTCTTCATTGTGTACGTCTAAAAGTTTTTTCTCCTTTGATTGTTGAAGTTGCTTTGGTTCGGGTAACAGTTCTGGTTCGCTCTCTTCGGGGCTTTCTCCCAAATTCAAACTCGGTACGTAACCAGTCTTCATATCCTCAGTCGCGATTTGTAAATTATTGTTATAACCCTCAAAAGTGCCGATGCGTAAGTCCATGTCTGAAGGCACTAGGTATAACCCCGGAGCGCTAGTCTTCTTCTGTCCTTGTGCCCCAAGTAACGCGTATACGTAAGCTCGAATTGATTTGTTTACCTTGGGGATTCCCAATTCCGTTAACCTACACTTTTTAGGAACGATTCCACCAGGCCAAAGTGACCGCGTCCAACTGTGAAATCCAATTGACCGTTTAGGTACTTGCGTGACCTGAGCCTTTAAGCGGTTTAGCCCAGCCAAAGCCCATGTAAGTAGATCCTGCATATTTACCGTTGGTCACATGTAAATCGTGCCGTCATAGTTTTTACCTGGAACAGGTACGTAACCGTTGTCGTAATAATAAGTGGTACCTAATCCGTTTGACAAAGTGTCGCAAGTTTGTTTATACGATTTATTCGGATTCGACTCTGTATAAAAGGCACGTGTCTGTAAACTTCCGATGGTCATAGTTATTGTGTATTGCATCAAGTACGCTAGGAATGGACATTACGCAGTCGTAAATTATTTTTCGTACGGTGTAATAAACGTGAAAATTAATTAAAGCCGACACGTATGAATTGGGATCGGGCAGCAAAGCAAAACCCACGCTGCAGGCTGTTGTCGCGCAATAGACCACAAAATTAAATTGATTTTGATAAAACCAAATTGGGTCGGTCACCCAGAGATTGACGGCTACATTGGTGGTTACTTTTGGTAATTCATACGCGTGCTTTAAATTTGGAAACTCGGCTGACAAGAAATTTTCTTCGTTGACTAAAATTGTTAAACTACTAAAGTTAGCTCCAATTTATTTTATACGTATTTTAGATACGTGTAAAATAAATAAAATAATATAAGCGAGGTTCAGTTGATTTTTTCTAAGGCAATCATAAGTTAATTATTCAAATTTAATCGACTTTTAGTTTCACGGGAGATTCATATCCAGATTCAGATCCAGGTATGTTAAACGCTTGCAACGCCAACTTACTTGAAATTAGGCCGTCTTTCTAATTTTTAACATTGCCGCTGTCAGTTTATATCGACTGGTGCCACAAGACAGTGAACCGTGGGTACCGTAGTATACGTCTTTTGGACAAATAAATGATTGCACGTCGCATCTCTTATTGATAAATTTATCGATATTTATCGGTCTTTTTAGGTGAACAAATAGAGAGGTATAGGGATCTATTTTAACGTACATTTGGTTTTTAGCCGTATGAGGTAGTTTAACTACAT